AGAGAGAGACAGAGAGAGAGAGACAGAGACAGATTTAAGTACATGATCTTTGCCATTGTTACCCTCTATCATGCTGTTTTGCAATTTTACAAAAAATATCAATTACTAAAATATTAAATTATTACCATTTAGTAGTTAATTAAAGACATGAAAACAGGAATGGTTAAAAAAGGCTGCTGCCCTGTTGTAGACAAACCTAAGAAGGCATACTCAGTAACCTGAAGCCACGAGAACCTCAAGGCTCTGATTTGTGGCCACGTGCTCCATTCCTTTTTTTCTGGTGAGATTTCAACCAAGTTCTAATTTCAAACCAATTATCAAGCCTTTCTTATCCAGTAGGCAGTACTTCTCCTGGTGACCTAAATATTCCTGAGCTGCTTCTCCATACACATACACGCAAGGCTGCATATCTCTATGCTGCGCATAGCTACATGTACAGTGCATAGCTTGTAATTACTGTTCGTATATGATTTCACAATATATGATGGATAATCTATCACTGCACAAAATATGCACAAGTGTGCTTGCATATGCTGCAGTTTGTTTTACTGTTTCTGCCAAATTGCATATCAACACGCTATTCTCATCAATAAATATGGCTCTTCCTTATTCCGTTTATTAGTTATCATCTCCATTTTCGGGACAAAACAATACTCATTTGAATGTCTCCTCTTTGAAGGCAAGGCAGTAATGCTCATCTTAGTAAACGTGTAATATATGACAAAACCCTGCCAGGGGATCTGATGGGTGAGAAGTTTGGGTAATCACTAATTTTGCACCAAGTATCATGGTAGATGTTCTTAACTCATTCTGTTTCATGCTGACCACTGTCAATCTTTTAATGTATCCCATCATGGTAGAAAAGGAAAGAGCATCTCTTAGTGGTCTGTTCTCATTTCCTGTAGCTCGGCGTGAGCGCAGAGCAGGGCCACATGTGCAGGCCCTGGCTTGGCCAACCTTCGTCTTTCCTGTTGCAGAGCCTTCTCCAGGTGTTTCTCATGGGTCACCAAGCTTTTACATAGCTACTGAAAGGGCCC